CTCCCTCTTCCTCCCTCTCTCTCAATTCTCAGAGTTATCTTGGTTCCTAAGGGATAGGAAAGTTGTATGTACTTATCAGATGGGCCATGATTAGCTATGGCTCACGGTGGGACATAGCTTATGGTAGAGCTGTAGGTCAGGACAGAGTCGAATGGTGTGTTTGATTGCCTCAGATAGAGCCTGTGTAACCCTATCTTGAGAAGGATTTGTAGCGGTCACATGATCCACTTCCATCTCACTCTTTCCATCCAGGAAAGCCCAGCAGAATCGGAGAGGATTTTCAGAGGAGCAACTTCGCCAGGGACAGAATGTCATAGGCCTGCAGATGGGCAGCAACAAGGGTGCCTCCCAGGCAGGCATGACGGGGTATGGGATGCCCAGGCAGATCATGTAAGATGCTGTATAGTGCCCCCTGGTAGAGAGGACGAATGTTCCGCACCACAGTCCGTGACAAAGAAATAGGTAGTCACCTTCTCACCTTCTTCTCTTTCTTGAAGCCTTCTGTCCCCTGTTCTTGCAAGTGCTGCATTTCTGCTGAGAATCCACGCTGCCTACTGCTGCCTACTGCTGCCACCTTGTGTTCCTTTAGAACTATGCAAAGACTCCCCTTCCTCTCTCTGACCTCCTGTGCCCTAAGGTCTCAGTATGTTTGATTATTTATTTATTTATTTATTTGCCAAAAATTTCTTTCCTTAACTCACAGAACGTACCTAATAAACAAATTAGTCTGTGTTCCAGAGTGTAACTTCATTCTCTGTCAGAGACTTAGCAGCTTGGCATGGTTCCATCCCTTTTTCATTCGGGAGTAAGTAGAGAAGTTGAGATTAGTACAAACAGTAGACAATGGATCAGCTATGAGGAAACATTTGCAAAGTTCTCAGGTTTATCTTGGTAATTTCAACAGAAAATCTAGATACAGTTTTTCTCACTAGAGATCTTAAAGTTAGAAGTTTACAAACACTATCTTGACCTATACACTTTTTTAAGTATCTACTTTGTACTTGTAATGTTAGACCTCGCAAGCAAGACAAAACATCATGAGCACCCAGGAAATAACAGAGAGATGGAAGGTTGGTTTTCTCAAACAACTGTTTTAAAACTGAGCAGCTCTTTGCTTCTCTTGCATGAGTTTTCCTCATATAGGATTGAGCTAAGAGCTATTCTGATATTTATACAATTTGCACCCCCTTCCTTTGGCCAGGAATGATCCACTATGTGGTATTGCTCTCTACACATTGTTTATAGGGTCCAAACCCCTAAAATTCTTGAAGATTGCTCAAGATTGAGATCGGCCCAACATGAATGAATGCCCAAGATATTTTTTATGGAATGAAAAATTAACAGGAAAAATGAGTATAGACCCTATCAATTCATCTTACTCTTTAAATGTATAGTTAGTAAGAGAAATGAAGTATCTTTATTTGTATAATGAATCATGAACTAATTTGAAAAGGTAAACAATAAATGAGACTACGTATTGCCATGCTAATTATTGAGGTGATAGTTTTTCAAACAGTTCTTTACAGTTCTGGGGTATCCCAGAGCCTTCTATGTGATCCTTCTTAACTACCTAGGGAACCCCTTGGTATGCAGGTGAGCCTTTCATCGCTCCTGCAGAACTATATATTGTGTCATCTGAATGTGACAAATCCTTCCTCAAAACCTACCTTGGAGTTGCTGATGAGAAAGTAGGGAAGCTGAAAGGGTCCCCAAAGTGAAAGAAACCTAAGAGAGAATTCCTAGAGAGGAAGGTAGTTTGATCCCTGTGTGTCCATGGATGTAGGAAGTTTGGGAAATACTTTCTACTAGGGAGGAGCATCTGGAAGAAAGCCTGGCATCCTGGAACCCATGGAGAGAAAAATTTCTTCTCTTTCTAATTTGTACTCAAAGTCAAGGTAATATATGACCTCAAGGAGCAGCTCACGGAAGGAAGCAGAGACCCTTTAGGGATATAAGTAGCACTACTTTGTACAGAGAGGATCATTTAGGATAAGACAAATAACCATACCAAGAGTGGCATAGGGGAAAACGTTGGAAACATAAAACAGTCATTCATTATGAAGAAAGAAAAAATCCCTCCATCATAGAAATTAACAAAAATAAAATGAACAAAATAAAACGTGCTAGGTTGAGTGCCAAGAACAGCCTAGTAAGTTAGCATATGAAGAAAATTCACCTTATAAAAATGTATAAATAGTTGGTAATATGAAATAAATATTAAAAATGACACATAGTAGTCATGAACTTAGAATCTCAGAAGGGAGAAAAGTCAATTAGGGAAGCAAATGCAATTAGTTAATTCATTTATTTTGTGTACAGATGTTCTGCCTACAGGAATGTCTGTGCACCGTGGGCACGCTGGAGAGAAATTTTTGAAGAAATAATATTAAGGCTTTACCACAGAGTTTTGTTTCCCTAGATGAGAACTGTTTAAAAAAGAATTATAAATGCTGGGTGGGGGTTGAGAGACAGACACATGATGAGCCCTTCACAGGTTGTTGTAGAATGTTTGACCACTGAAAGTAGAAAAGTCTTAAAGCATGCCAAATGCATGCATGCATGTGTGTGTAGGCCAGAGGACTACCTCAGATATGAGAGGGGATTTCTAACCAGCCTTGAACTCACCAAGTAGGCTGGGCTGGCTAGCCAGCATCAGGAATTGTGAGGTCTGCCTTCCCAGTGCTGGGATCACATGTGTATTCCCACACCTATCTCTACAAACATAGGCTCTGAGAAACAAACTCAAGTCTTCATGCTTGCATCGAAAAGGCTTGGCCAACTGAACTCTCTCTCCAGCCCAGAGCTTTTAAAAAGTAAAAGATATTGCATATAAGAAAAAAAAGAATCATGTTCATCTTTAGAATTCTCAGCATAACCTTAGGCACATAAAGTAATATTTTCAACACAGAAATTTCTATCTAGATCAGTGCTTCTCATCCTTTCTAATGCTGTGACCCTTTAATGGATTTCCACATATTGTGGCAACCCCAACCATTAAATTATTTTCGCTGTTACATGATAATTGCAATTTCCCTGCTGTTATGAATCATTATGTAAATATCTGATATGCATGATATCTGAAATGCAACCCTTGTGAAAAGGTTGTTTGACCTGCTCGTTGAGAACCATTGATCTAGATAATTTAAACTTAGAATGTCATTTTTAAAAATGGTATTATTTATTATTATGAGATAAAGGGTGATGTGCACACCAAGGCATTTGTGTGGAGTTCAGAGATCGACCTTTAGGAGTGGGTTCTCTCCTTCCTTCAGGGGTTCTGAGGGTGGACTCATGTTATCAGGCTTTGGGGCAAACACTTTCACCCACTGAGCAATCTTTGGCCTACTCACTATTTTCTAAGATCAAGAATGAAGGACAAGTTGATAAAGACCAACTTTGAAAACATAATTATTTCATTAAGAAAAATATATTACCAGGAAAACACTATTTGACAGGGGGATTGTAGGTAAATGCATAAGTGTGTGTGGTGTGTGTGTGTGTGCTATAAAGTAAATGTACAATAATCTGTACTAGTATCAGTAAATGAGTAAATAAAGACATGGAAAAGCAACAGACATTATATTACAGAGTAGCTAACTAGCCCAACAATGTATTTTTAAGATGTGTCAAGGCTGAGAGTCCACTGTATGATTTTATGGGAAACATACAAGCATATCAATGAAGTATTTTGCACATTATACATCATGCTGCATTCTAACTAGGCTTTTGGCACAAACGCTGGTAGAATTTGGACTTAAAAACAAAAAGAAGAACAATTAACTTGGCCTAGAGATGTAGTATATTTGGTAGCATGTTTGCCTAGCACAGAGAAAGCTCCCTATTGGATCCTCATCCCCATGATGGTTAGGTCATCTGTTTTCATAACTATTTTCCCCCATCTGCCTGGGCAGAGTAGGTGTGTTAGAATGGGAAAAGTGCTGTGACCCCAAAGACAGTCCTTTCTGGGCGGACTTGAACTTGGAGTTAAATTTGTGAAATACCTGTGACTCTTATGCTAAGGTTTCATTTCATCTTGGATTTCTACAAGGGAGGATTAAAAGTCAGAATCTTAAAGCAAAGTAGAAAAGAAGTTACTTGCTTTTAATTATTTATGGTTTTGATTTTTTGAGACAGGGTCTTATGTAGCCCAGCCTGGAACTCATTAAGTAGATGAGGTTGACCTGGAACTTCTAATCTTCCTTCCTCCGGCCTCCACCTGTACAGTGCTGGGATTAAAGTTTTATGTTATCCCCTGTATTAGTACCATACTGAAAAGTATAATCTGGAGTTTTCCCTTTGTTAGGCAAACACTCTACCAATCGCACTACATCTCCAGCCCATATTAGTTGGTTTTTAAAATTCAAATTCTACAAGCATTTGCTCCATAAGCCTGGTTGGAGCACAACATTAGATAGATGAGATAGAGATAGAGATAGAGATAGAGATAGAGATAGAGATAGAGATAGAGATAGAGATAGAGACAGAGATAGAGATAGAGAGATATAGATAGATAGACACAGATATAGATAGATACTGATATATGTGTGTGTATGTATGTATGTACACATATACATAATACACATCATGTACATACATACACATACATCTCCACATTTTTCATTGTGAAGATTGTAGGTCTATCAGAGAATCATGTCATGACTCTCAGCCTTATAAATCAACACCTCAACCCAGGGCCATAGCCAAAGCTCCTCTAGAGTGTAGAAACCGAACTATTTGCTTACAGTTGATGTCATCTATAGGCTGCATGAGACTGTAGTGGGAAGGTATCTTGTGTTGGTAAGTCAGGCAGAAAGATGAATGAAAACAAAACTGTCATGCCAGGATGACGAACCAGGCTGGGGTTCTCTTTCAAGTCACCCCACCAACCAACAAGTGACACTGATGGCTGTCTCATGTCAACGGAAGTAAAGAGCTCCTTCATTGTTCACAAGGTTTCTCTTCCTATTTGTCTGCTGCACTGCACCACTTCAGTTACCATCCATAGAAAACTTTGGTGACATTAAATATTCAGTGCTACTGTTAAGACATTTAGTTGTCATGGCCCCAAACTAGTGAAACCATTAATTTAGTCCTCGAGACTGAAATACTTCTGACTTCATGTCTTTTGTTGTCATGGTTACTGTAAAGCATTGAGACTAAGGTTTAAAGTATAGCCATATTTTTTTTTCCAAGAAATGATAGCATCATTTGTGTGGGTTGTATATCTGTTTCCTTGAGATATTTTGAGGCTGATTTTCCTACTATATGGACCAAGGTCAACTTTTGAAATGCTGTAGATTTTGGATCCTCTTTCATAGAGCCTTCATACTGCACAAACAATGAATGGAGCACAGGTCACTATTATCCAGTACCCAAGATTCTTTGCTCCCAAGGATTAGGAGACAGTTGAAATGATAGACTTCAGTTCTTGGAAGTCTATTTATTTCAGTTCGAAAAAACAGCTGTTTGGCTGGACTTCAAAGTGTATTCAAAGCCTTTTATTATTTGTTTTATCCTTGATTTTGCTTTTTTGAAACAAGTTCTCAGGTCACCTAGGTCAAACTTGAACTCTAGATCTTTTTGCTTTCAGCCACCTACCAAGTCCTAAAATTACAGGTTTATGGCACTGTGGTTGTTTGAATAAGAACAGCTCCCACAGGCTCATAGATGTAAATACTTGGTCACTGTTTGAAAGGATTAGGAAGAGTAGGCTTGTTGGAGGAAGGATGTCA